TTTCCAAAGTGGCTGCGCCATTTTACATTTCTGCAGACGCTGTATGAGTGTCCCAATTTCTCCACATCCTTGGCAACGCTTATCTTTTTGATTCAAGCCACCTGGTGGTGTGAAGTGGTATCACGCTGTGGTTTTATTTTACAAATATTTAATTAATTAATTATTGAAAACAATTTTTAAAAAAGGTTTATTCACTTTTGAGAGAGACAGAGACAGAGCAGAAGCGGGGGAGGGCAGAGAGAAAGGGAGACAGAATCTGAAGTAGGCTCCATGCTCTGAGCCGTCAGCTCAGAGCCCGATGCGGGGCTCGAATCCACAAACCATGAGACCATAACCTGAGCCAAAGTTGGACACCTAACCGAATAAGCCACCCAGGTGCCCCTTACTTATTTATTAATTTTTTTTTTAAGTTTATTTGTTTTGGGAGAGAGAACAAGAGTGGGTGGGGCAGATACAGAGGAGGAGAGAGAAAATCCCTAGTAGGCTCCACACTATCATCGTGGAGACTGATGTGGAGCTTGAGCTCATGAACCGTGGGTTCATGATCTGAGCCAAATACAAGAGTCAGACACTTATTCAACTGAGCTACCCAGGCACCACTAATGATTTTATGTTTTAAGTAATCTCTACACCCAATGTGGGGCTTGAACTCGAGACCCTGAGATCAAGAGTCACATGTGCTATAAACTAAGCCAGCCAGGTGCCCCAAGGCCTATTTATAATTTGATAAGGAATGAAAATGTGGTGTTCAAATCACCACTGACCACATGGGAATTTTCTGTACAATACATACCGATTCATAAATTAACACAAAATTTGGAATATCGGAGCCACTAAGTTTTCAGTGCTTTTTTCAGTTGTTTCTGTTAAACATTTTTGGATAGTAAGAGTTTTAGTCTTGCACATACATAGACTTCCAAAGGATATTTGGGTTCCCTGGGTGGCTCAGTTGGTTGAGTGATCGACTCTTGATTTTGGCTGAGGTCATGATCTTGCGGTTGGTGGGTTTGAGCCCCAGGTCGGTCTCTGCACTGACAGTGCAGAGCCTGCTGGGATTCTCAGTCTTCCTCTCTCTCTGGCCCTACTCCCCCTCTTCACTCTCAAAAAAAAAGGAAATTTGAGTCGCCTTAAAATAAAACACATTCTGATTTTAGAGCTCATTTACCCCCAAAAGATATATATAGACCAAATTAGGACTCTTTTAGCTACGGGGTTTACTTTTTGTTTTGTAGGCATTTTACCTGAATGACTATACCAAATTCATTAAAAAAAATTCTAATCTATACTGTATCAGAAGCTTATAGAGGAAACATTATTTTTAGTTATTTTTTAATTTTATTATTATTTTTAATAATTTTTTAAAAAATGTTTACTTTTTGAGAGACAGAGTGAGAGAGCACATGTGTGCACAAGCTGGGGAAGGACAGAGAGAAAGGGAGACACAGAATCCGAGGCAGGTTCCAGGCTCCAAGCTGTCAGCGCAGAGCCTAATGTGGGGCTCGAACTCATGAACCACAAGATCATGACCTGAGCCAAAGCCGGATGCATAACTGACTGAGCTACCCAAGTGCCCCAAGTTTTTATTCTTTTAAATAAGCACTAGGCCCAACACGGGGCATGAAGTCATGACCCCAACATTTAGAGTTGCATGCTCTACCAACTGAGCCAGTCAGGCACCCCAATAGAGGAAACATTTATGTGGGGTTCCCTGACCTACAATTTATAAAAGGAGAAAAAAATTCACACTTGAGAATATAATTTAAAATCAACAGATTAATAATTTTTAATAACCTTAAATCTAACTTCTAAAGAGATGGCTTTTAATAAAACAGTCCTTTTTAAAAAACAGTGAACAGTAAGTTACCTTAGCAGCTTGAGATTCCCTTAAGTAATATTTTAAAAGGTCAGAAAGTTTGAGGTCCTCATCAGCAGACACTCGTGCTTCTATTTTCTGAAAAAGGGGAAAAAAACAGGCATTTAATTAGCACATAGTCTACACCCCACATTTTCTTTCTCAATTACTGTAAAAAAATTAAAGTTATAAATATCTATTGTATCCACTCCTATTTAACCTAAGTTTCCCACCCTCTCCTTTCTACTAGCCTATTACTTTTCTTCATGATTATGACAAGAAATAAACAGAAAAAAGAAGGAGATCAAATGAAATTAGTGAGTTTTTGGAAGGACTCGATATCTGATTCAAGTTCCCAGCTAGACTGTGTTTCAGTACCATCTTTCAGCACTTACATTTTCTCTTGTTACTTCCTTTCAATGATATGTACACATGATTTTAAAGTGTTAAAGGCTGACGGTGGTAGACTAGGTAACAAACCAATCTTCCTACTGAGAACAACCAGAAAATACAGTCAAAACATTACCAAAATGTGCCTGAAGACACCACAGAGTAATAAACAGATGTGGTTAGTTTGAGTTGGGATAAAACGGGAAACAGCCATGTCAGACTAAAAAGATGCAACTCTTCAGTCTGGAGAGACAGAGGATAAAGATGTATTATGTCAACCAAATATAATATAGGGACCTTGTTGGAATCTAAGTCAGATGAACTCCACTGTAAAAAGCCATTTGAGGCAACTGGGAACATGTATATAGCAAGAATTTGGTGACATCAAGGGAAATCATTGGTAACTGTATTGACTATATTAAAATTCTTATCTTTTTAAAAAAATGTTTATTTATTTATTTTGAGAATGAGAGAGAGGGAGGGAACCTCAAGCAGACTCTGCACTCAGCGCAGAGCCCAACAAAGGACTCGATCCCACGAACCATGAGATCATGACCTGTGCTGAAATCAGGAGTTGGAGGTTTTACTGACTGAGCCACCCAGGTGCCCCTAATTCTTATCTTTTAAAAAAAGACAGATGTGCACAAAGGGCAGAAACAGAATGAAATGGACATTTTGGGGAAAAAGCACTTTAAGCAATGTAGAAAATGTTAACATTTAGGAAATCTGGGTGACCCATGTATAGGAATTCCTTGTACTATTCTCACAATGTTTCTGTGGGTCTGAAATTCCTGTTGAAATAAAGTTAAAATTTAAAAACCCTACACATCCAGGGCACCTGGGTGCTCAGTCAGTTAAGCATCCAACTTTGGCTCAGGTCATGATCTCAGTTTGTGAGTTCAAGCCCCACGTCCGGCTCTGTGCTGACAGCTCAGTATGGAGCCTACTTTGAATTCTGTGTCTCCCTCTCTCTCTGCTCCTCCCCTGCTCATCCTCTCTCTCTCTCCTTCAAAAATAAAAACATTAAAAAAATTAAAAATAAAAAAATAAAAACCCTACACATCCAACAGAATAACTAAAAAAAGACAACAACAAGTACTGCAAGCTGTGTAGCAACCCCAATGCTCACATTTATTCTGATGGGAATGTAAATTGGTACAATCACTTTGGGAAACGGTTTGGCACGATCTATGAAAGCTTTTCACATGGATACCGTAAGACCCCTAATTCCCCTCCTGGTTATATATACTGAACAAGTATCTACTTGTTTTCAGCTGAAACTATCTAGGAATGGTCTTAGAAGTACTATTTGTAAAGAGCCACAAACTAGAAACGATCCAAATGCCTACCAACAGTAGGACAAATGAATAAATTTAGGTATATTCTTGACAAGGAAAGGTATATAGCAATGAATGAAGGAATGAAGGAACTATACCTACATGCAACAACATGGATGAATCGGGGCTCCTGGGTGGTTCAGTCGGCTAAGTGTTTGATTCTTCATTTTGGCTCAGATCATGATCTCATGGTTTGTGAGACTGAGCCCTCAGCCGGGCACTGTGCTGGTAGCATGGAGCCTGCTTGGGATTCTTTCTCTCTTCCTCGCTCTCTGCCCCTCCCCCCACTTGTGCACTCGTTCGCACGTACTCTCTCTGTCTCTCTCTCTCTCTCTCAGTAAATAAACTTAAAACCAAACCAAAAAACAAAAACAAAAACAAAAAACGCAGGGGCGCCTTCGTGGCTCAGTCAGTTAAGCATCCGACTCTGGATTTTGGCTCAGGTTTCTCATGGTTCATGAGTTTGAGCTCTGCATGGGGCTCCAAGCTGTAGTGTGGAGCCTACTTGGGATTCTCTCTCTCCTTCTCTCTGTTCCTCCCTAGCTCTCTCTCTCTTTCAAAGTAAATAAACTGAAAAGAAAAGAAAAAAAAAAAAAAAAAAAAAAAAAAGGAAAAGTACTTCTCTCTCTTCTGAAAAAGGAAAAAAAAAAAAACCAACACAGATGAATCTTATGTATGTAATGCTGAGTAAATGGAACCAGACATAAAAGAATACATACTGCATGAAGCATTTACATAAAATATGAAAATAAGATTAATCTCTGCTGTTAGAAGCTAAGATAGTGGTTTTCCTTGCAGGAGGTGGTGACTCAGAAAGCAGCTGAAGGGGGGCAGGGCATGCTTTTTTTGTTTAAGTTTACTTATTTTGAGAGAGAGAGAGAGTCAGCGAGTGCGCATGTACAGAAGGGGGGAGGGGCAAAATGGAGGGGGTAGAGAGAATCCCAAGCAGGCTTAGCAATGTCATCATGGAGCCCGATGTGGGGCTCAAACTCATGAACCGTGAGATCATGACCTGAACCAAAATCAAGAGTTGGATGCTTAACCGACTGAGCCACCCAGGTGCCCCTAAATGTTCTATTTCTTGATGTGGGTGTTCATTATACGGGTGTGTTAAATTTGTTAAATTTCACTGAGCTGTATACTTCTCATATATGCTCTTTCCTATATGTAAAATATATTTCAGTAAAAAGTTAGCAAAAACCTTGAAGCTTAAGACACATTCCCTTACAGAGAAATAAACTTATGAACCTAACAATAAATGCACAGACATAAAATATATTCAAAATTGATTTAGATAAATTTAGATAAACTGATTTAGATAAATGTAGGTAACATGTTAGATGGAAGTTGGGTGCTTTTAAATATGGCTCCTCTCTCCTTCCACTAAGAAGGAGTAGGGGTATGTATGTATGTATTCCCTTCCCTTGATTCTGGGCCCTAACATTGCTTGATCAATACAAAAGTGATGCTGTGCCAGTTTCAAGGCCTTAATGAAACTAGCAATTTTCACTTCCCATTTTTCAGGATACTTGCTTTCAAGCCACCATACTGTGAGGAAGCCTAAGCAGCTCCATGGAAAAGCAACACACAAATGTTACAGCCAATAGCCCCGGCTAAAGTCTCGGTTGGTAGCCAGTATCACCCCCAGACACCTGAGTGAAAGAGCCTTCCTTCAGAGGATTCTAGCCCACAGCCTTCATATGTTCCCTGTTGAGGCCCCAGACATCATGGAGTAAAGGCAAGCCACCTCTGTTCTGCCTTTTGTGAATTCTTGACCCAAAGAATTCATTAGCATAATAAAATGGCTGTCGTTTTAAGCTATTGATTTTAGGATGGTTTGTGCCACAGCAATAATACCCAGAACAACACCAAGACACCAAAAGAAATGAAGACTGTGGTGCCTATGGCAACGTGCCATCTAGATCTCCTTCATGAGAAACTGCTTGCTGCAAGGAGCATAGTTTGTTCAGAGTCCCAGCTGCAATCTCTCTAGATCAGAACAATATTCATCCCAAGGTTATGATACATCCTTCCCTCCTTGCCTCAGCTGCACCCAATGACAGAGCACAGGGGCCGTAGCACTAGCCCAGTCTTGCTGATGCCGTACTGCCTCTAATGAGCAACTTTGGCTGAGGACTCCCTTTTGATCTGGACAAAACTTTCTTAAGACTGCGCTATAGTCTGAAACTCCTCCTACCAAGTCCCTCTCCTTTCCCAGGTGTAGACCTGCACTATGGTCTGAAGTCTCTTCACGTCTATCCTGCTCCTCCCTCTTTGTTCTTCCCAATGAATCTCTTGCATGTCTAATCTCATCTTGACATTTACTTCTGCAAAAATACTAACTCAAAAAGCTATTCTGTGATAGTTCCCTATTCTTTTGATGTAGACACACAGGAAACAACTGTATCTTCCTGGAAAATGCTCATTTGTACAAATACCAAAAGTGAAATAATGGGCTTTTGGGACCCTTCACTACAACAACATTTATGTATTTAATGATGGTTTCCTTTGTAAGAAAATAACTCCTTTTCTTTTACTTATCTTCACTATCTATTACTCAATTGACAAAGTCACGTTGAAATCAGATTTCTACAATGGACTAGCCACTTCCAATCTCAGGTAAGTGCCATTAAACACATAATAAACATTTCACTCTTCTCTGAACTTCATCAAAGTGTTTTAATATTATTGTATCTAAGACTAATCCCTGAAAATCAAGACTACATCAATATTAAAGCATTATTGCTATGTAACCTTTTTTGCAGTTGTGTATTTGCCTCATATTGTTAAACTCACTTTTTTTTTTTAAATGTTTATTTTTAAGAGAGAGAGAGCGTAAGCAGGGGAGGGGCAGAGGGAGATGGGGACAGAGGATCCTAAGCGGGCTCTGTGCTGAAAGAAGCCAGCGCATTGTGGGGCTCAAACTCATGAACCCTAAGATCATGACCTAAGCTGAAGTTGGACGCTCAGTTGAGTCACCCAATGACACAGATATAACTCGCTTTTAAACCAGTGTGTCAAGGGGGATCAAAAGCAATGCAATCTTGGTAAAACCGTAATAAATCTAAAACTTTCTTCTAGCATACAAAGCCCCAGAAAAAGACCATTCTTCATAAAAGTAAACCTAGTCTCTATAATGAAAATGTTCTCTGATCAAGAATATGAACTTTTACAAATACCAAAAGGCCATAACAACAGCAACAAAAAAAAAAATGAGTTTCCTGAAAACAACTTACAATTTTCAAATCTAAGTCTGTTTCTTCATCCTTCTGAAGTAGAACTCATCTTTCTCAACAAAGTTAAACACAATCATAACAGGTTAAACAGTACTGTATGCAATGATTTAGACTCCCAAAGGTTAACTGATAGTACTTACTCTGGTTTTATCAAATAGTTCTGAAACTTTGAGAAAAAACCTGGAAGGGAAAAATATTTCATCAGAAGTCAGCTCTGAAATGATTTTCCAAGTCAAATGTTGAGAGAATATGCCCCCAAACTGTATTAATAATGAACACTGTTATCTCACTACAGTAATATTTGATGGTCTCGTTCAATGCAGACTTCATTTAGTTCAACATCTCTGTACTTCCACCCATATAACAGATAACTTGGAAACTGTTGTTACAGAAAATCTTACCCTTTCAAAGTAACAATCTAAGCCATATATTTATTAATTTCTAACTTTTTAAAATTCAATTTTTTTCCCTAATCTCTATACCCAATGTGGGGCTTGAACTCACAACCCCTGGATCAAAAGGCACATGCTCCACCAACTGAGCCAGCAGGCACCCCTAAGCCATACATACATTTAAACAAAATTTTTCCTTACATTCATTAATATGCCACATAATACTAAATAAAGCCCATGATTTCAAAATTCTTATAGAAGTACAGAACAATCAGATCCAAAGAGACAAAAGGCTGATTTAAAAGGAAAACACTAAGGCTGGAACAGCTCTTGAAGTTATTTGATAGTAATGTTTTAAACACCTTCAAATAGAGCTGCTTTGTTTTAGAAAATAACAGAAACGAGTAAGCAATTTGTATCTTAAAATTCATGTTCACTTTTAACTAAATTGCCTATCTCTCAATGGTGATACCAACTAAAAAATATCCCAATGCACAGCTTTTTAAAAGAGTATTCTGTAAAATATGTAATTATTGGTGACGTTATAACTGGATGAAGGCAAGTGCTATTGAAAGCTAAAACACTATTTTATGAACTTTACTAAAAAGAACTTGCTTGACAGGTTTATGCCCAGTTACACATGGCAAGGTTGACTTTTTCTTCTTATCAAAGACTTACAAATCCTTTTTTTAAAAATTATGTTTATTCATTTTTGAGAGACAGAGAGAGACAGAGTGTGAGCAGGGGAGGGGCAGACAGAGTGTGAGCAGGGGAGGGGCAGACAGAAAGGGAGACACAGAATCCATAGCAGGCTCCAGGCTTTGGGCTGTCAGCACAGAGCCTGATGTGGGGCTAGAACCCACGAATTATGAGATCATGAACTGAAGTCAGATGCTTAACCGACTGAGCCACCCAGGCACTCCAAGACATATGAATTCTTAGGAAAGGTAGCATGTTAATTAATGTAAGCCATATATATATATATGTATAGTACCTTGCTTTGCTGAAAAACTTGGATCTTTGGATCTTACAGGTCTACTAAGACAAGATACACTAGAAAAAAGATTCAAGGATGTGGTTTAGAAAAAGGCATAAACTAGGAAAATAGTTTTGCCACTTAAGTTTGAAAAAAAAAGTTTGGATTATTTTTCAATAAACAGTTGTGTTTAAACAATATTATAGGAAAAACTAAAATTAACCATGGTTAGATTAATGTAGAAAGCTAACATAAATTAAGTAAGGGACAGCTGTGTAAGCAAACATTCAGAGAGTATTTCCATACTAACACATACAACAGCTACCCTTTGGTCACCCTAGGACTACCCTGAGATTCACTAAACTTAAAAACTAAAACTAGCCTCTCTAAAAAGTATAAACTAATACCATCATATTTTACTTTAAAAGTCAATTTGGCCTCCAAAGAAATACATACATACATATATATACTGTATATTCTAATTTCAGAACGTTTATTTATAATAAACTTCATCAAAACCTAAGAGCATTTTGACGTAAGTTCTGTGTCTCTTCCTTACACATACACACACGTCAGCCAATTTTCATCAAATAACACTTTGTAAATGTTAAAATATACATTAAAGTCAATTTTTATTTTTCAGATTTTCTTTTTAAATGTTTATTTTTGAGAGAGAGAGAGCATGTGAACTGGGGAGGGACAGCGAGAGAGGGAGACAGAGGATCCGAAGCAGGCTATGTGCTGATAGTAGAGAGTCCGATGTGGAGCTTGAACCCACGAACTGTGAGATCATGACCTGAGCAGAAGTCAGACATTTAAACTGAGTTCCCTAGGCGCCTCTATTTTTCAGATTTAAGAAATAAGAGAGAAAGAGTAGAGGAAAAAATAACATTGATCCAAGTTTATAAAAAAGTTCCTTATTACTGATGTGTTTTGATGAAGATATTCTAAATGCCTGCTGGGTCAGGCATTCTACATGCCCAGGCTGCTAGCAAAATTTTTCTGTTTTATTTAATGTTTTAAAACTTTTTTTTTTTTTTAATGTTTATTTTTGAGAGAGAGACAGAGTGTGAGCAGGGGAGGAGCAGAGAGAGAGGGAGACATAGAATCCAAAGCAGGCTCCAGACTCTGAGCTGTCAGCACAGAGCCCAATGCAGGGCTCGAACTCACAAACCATGAGATCATGACCTGACCCAAAGTCAGACGCCTAACCAACTGAGCCACCCAGGCGCCCTGTGTTTTATTTAATGTTTTAAATCAGAATCCTTACTTGCATATATCTGTAGAATCCTGAGTTCCTAAAGCATATAGCGAAGAACCAATCCTATTGTAATCATCTGCAGCACCTATGGAAAAGATTGTTAGAATTTCATATATTTGTTCATTGATTCAAAAATACCTATTGAGCATTCATCTGCTAAACAAATGTGTATACAGTATGAGATATTCCAAGTCTGGTGAAGGAAATGACAATAACTATAATATAATTTGATGGAATATTATATCAGAATATTCTATCAGAAGTAGGTAAAAACTACTTTGGGAGCAGGGGAAACCTGAGTAAGTTAGGGAAGGATTTATAGACACTACCGAGTGAGTCAGAACTTGCAGGATAAGAAAAATCTTTACCAGACAAAAGAGGGGAGAGCATTCTGGATGAAGGGCAGAGCATGGATACAGGCTAGTAAGACATAAAAGAACACAGTATATTCAGACAGCCTTCTAGAAAGAAGGCACTACAAGGATACAGAGGGGAGTGGAAGGAGTTGAAGATGGAAAAATAAATTAGAGGTATCTTGGAGGGAAAATGGGTTTTTGGATGCCATGATAAAGTTTGGATTTGATCTTATAAGAATGGGTGTTATTAAACATTTAAAAATAACAGTAGTGGTAAAATCAAGCACTGCCTGGAATAAAGACTAGAAGTGGAGAGACACAGAAGGCAGAGCAACCAACTAGGAAATTTTTGGGTCCAATACTGATTGTTAGGATCAAAGTAGCGAAAATACTGACAGCAGAGAGGAACAACAAGGCTGGAAGATATTTAGGAAACCTAATAGGTAGGATTTACAATTAGGAAATCCTAATAGGTAGGATTACAAACAGGAGACCTGAGGTAGGAAGAAAAATTATGGAGCTTGGGAAGCTACATGAATGGTGGTAGCACCATTACCCTTAGGTGCTAGGAAGCAAAGTATTCAACTTTAGCACAATACTCTTCCTATTCCTAGCACTCACCCCCAGGACAACTTGTTGAAAAAAGATTACTTGTTTCAGAAAAAGGATAGTACAGTGCAATGGTTAAGCTCATGGTCCTGGGACCCAATTTACCAGCTATATGACCTTGAGTTTATCACTTAACTTGTGAATGCCTTGCTTTCTTCATCTGGAAATGGGGATAATAATGGTACCAGTCTTATAAAATTACTTGGATTAAGTGAGTTAATCAATGTTACTATATATCTGGCACACAGTGAATATAGTACTATATAAATGTTTGCTATTATTAATGAAATCCAAGATGTGTACTTTGTATGGAAATTTCCACTTATCCTCAGTAGTATGTTTATAAGGTTTTAGTGTGTTTATTCTTTAACAAAACGGTAATCCTTAAATTATACTTTATATGTTGTACAAAGTTATATTCAACAGATAAGGCTGAAATTTGGTGACTATTTACTTACTGTTATTCAGAAACAGATCTATTCTGGTATCTTTCATAAAGATACTTAGAATACAAATTTTGGACTCTGAATAGGAACTTCTATATGTGAGACTTTTCACTATTAACCTAAAATTTTAAGTTAAAAAAATCACATAAAGGTTGGTTTATCAAGGCAGGTATCAAAAATGATTTGTGTCCAATATCACATACAGTAATATTTTATACTTAAAATGACCCTGAAATTATTTATTATTATTTTTAATATTTAATTTTGAGAGAGAGAGAACGAGCAGGGGAGGGGCAGAGAGTGAGAGGGAGACACAGAATCCAAAGCAGGCTCCAGGCTCTGAGCTGTTAGCACAGAGCCTGACACGGGGCTCGAACCGTGAGATCATGACCTGAGCCAAAGTCGGAGGCTTAACCGACTGAGCCACCGAGGTGCCCCTGAGATTTTTCTTTTTTTTTTTTTTACATTTATTTATTTTTGAGAGACAGAGAGAGACAGAGCACAAGTGGGGGAGGGGCATAGAGAGAAGGAGACACAGAATCCGAAGCAGGCTCCAGGCTCTGAACTGACAGCACAGAGCCAACACGCGGGGCTCGAACTCACAAACCATGAGATCATGTCCTGAGCCTAAGTCGGACACTTAACCAACTGAGCCACCCAGGCGCCCCCTGAGATTATTTTTTAGAGCAAGAAATTCCTGTCTCCTAGTATCCGGCTCTGAGAACACTACCCTTTTGGGCTATTACATCATTATACGATCACAGAAAATAAGCAAACTGCCTTGATTTTATATACATCACAGTGAGGCTGAAAAGCTTAGTTTTTCATAGTCCAGGCTAGTTAAGTTCATGCGTTGTGAAAAAAGTTTTTACTTTATAATTTTATAATTCTGTAATAATTATAATTTTGTAAAATAGATTCACCATCATCTCTTCTACAAATACTGTTCCATTTGGCCAAATAGAATAAATAAGAATTATGTTATCTTAACAGATGACTCTCTACCTTTATAGTTCTTTATGTTTCCATAGCACAAATATATACCTCTATTAAAGGACTGACTACAATACACTGTAATTTTCTGCTTTTCAGATTTCTGCAAAATTTCTGCAAAATTATTAATTCCTGAAGGGCAAAGACTATATTTTCTTCATCTTGAAATTACCAATGCCTAACATTATGGTTGGCAAACAGGCCAATGTTTATAAACTATTTTATTTTTTACTTAATTTTATTTATCCTATCCTATCCTATCCTATCCTATCCTATCCTATCCTATCCTATCCTATCCTATCTTATCCTATCCTATGCAGGTCCACGCCCAACATGGGGCTTGAACTCATTACCCTGAGATTAAGAGTCATAGACTCAGGGGTGCCTGGGTGGCTCAGTTAACTGAGTATTACACTCTTGATTTCGGCTCAGGTCAAGCATGAAGTCTGCTTAGAATTCATTCATTCTCTCTCTCTCTCTCTCTCTCTCTCTCTCTGCCACTCTCCTCCTCTGGTGTTCTCTCTCTCTCTTAAAAAAACAACAAAAAAAGAGTCGTATGCTCTACTGACAGCCAGCAAGGTGCCCCTGAGCTAAATAACTTTAAAACAATTTTTAAAGTATAGTAGGATTCTATTTTATTTTAATTTTTTAAAGGATTTTATTTTTAAGTAATCTCTTCATTCAATGTGGGGCTCAAACCTACAACCCTGAGATCAAGAGTCGCATATTCTACTGACTGAGCCAGCCAGGCACCCCTAATAGGATTCCATTTTAAATAATCAAAAATAAACTTAAGGATACTCCTAATTATTACAACTAACACTAGTATATATACCATTTCATATTTACAAAGTTTTTCTTTCTTGAGGGGGTACAGGTGAGGCCTGTGGGCTCCAGCCTGGTCCAGTTGGTGGAGTATGGGGGTCCCCAGGAAAGCAAACAGGGTACTGCTGGAGCCCCACAGGGTGCACTATGTGACTCTGGGTGTGTAGAGGGAGTAAGTGCAGGTCTTGATGGAGGGACAGGGAGAGGACAGATTAGGACAAAGTTTCTCTTAACAGAGGAGTAAAACGTGAGATAACTCATCTTAATGTCATTTTATAAACAAGGGAACCAGTGTAATACCAATTAATTATGTGACTTGCCAAATGCTCTAGAGCAAATTGGTAATAAATCTAGGAAGGAATTCAAGCTTCCCACACTTTATAGTTCTTTTTTTTTTT